ATTACTGTTAATGGAAGTATTAGTGTAGGGTAACAAGGATAATAGCAGTCAGAACAGGTATAAGGCCTCACAAAAGTATCTGCCGCGAATTGGACGCTCGTAGGAGAGTAGGAGAAAGGGAGTGGCGGGTTCACGAAAGTAAAATTGACTTTTTCTACCGTGGCGATACCGGCCGGCCTTAAACCTGAACCTGGCCAGTTTGACATAGTAAAACTCACCAAAAGCGTTGTGAACAGAATGCACGAATGTCCCACCATCGTATATGACGTAATAGTAGCTTTTGAAGTAAAATGTATTTGTCATTGAAATGTTATGTATGTTTGTTTTGCTTTAAAAAAGGCTAAGCTAGGTTACTGTTTTCATTAAATATGTTAGAAGTATAAAGCTCGTGTAAATGAAAATGCATAATAATTGGAAAAACCTTTTTCTAAGGGTCCTCATTCATGGTCCCATTCAGTGGACGATCATTGGTTTACGATGTTAGCACTAAATATATTAACGCACAGGTTCTTCTAACTATTCAGAAGAGATTTCCCAGAGAAAAATATGTTCCGTCCAGCGAGAGTACTGATGGAGATACCTACAAGAATTGGATATTAAGAGTGTCAGCGAAGCTGGTGTGGACAAGGGCATTTTTCATCGCCGCAACCGTGCCCCAATCGATGGCTAACTTATACTGAATATCGGGGATCGCTCAGCTAAAAAGAGCACGTTTTACATAGATATATCGGTATCACCTATAGACACGCCTGATTAGTAATCACAGTACCATAAGACAGTCCAACTACTAGCTAGACTATAAACGAATAGAGCATCTTCGAAGCTAGTAAGGATAGCAGCAATTCTAGGTGATCTTTCCTACGCGACTGCGTTTTCTCTGCGTAAACGTTCCCCCCGGGAGGCTAGTTGGAACCGCCAAACGACCCGCGGACCGCAAGCACAAAGCAATCACGTCGTTAGGGTTTATGTGTAATTTAAATACTTTGTGACCGTGAAGTGAAAAGCGTTAATGGATGCAGTAATATGGATATTAAATCAAATCAATCTAATTTAGACTGCGTTTTGTGACATGTTTCAGCACGCGGTCGCTTGGAACGCATCAGATATCTGCTTGACAAAATTTGCCGCTTTAAGACCCGCCGCTAATACATAGCACCATACACATCCTGGATGAATGAAGATCGTTGTTTATCATGCATACAATTATTAGAATGATAAACGATTCATCATGTCGGTTTATTGATTACCTTATTTCTACTTTAGGGAATGGGCATGTGCTGTTGTGTATAAGTCAAGTGTATAGTAATCATCTATACTGTATAAATCGCATATAGTGTACGATAATTCAAAAGTGTTGTTGCGCAGGGACTCGGACTCATAGTCGTTAGGTTATAGGTTTAATAATTGGCTGAAATGCAGTGATATCCTTCGATTGTCTTAGTCTTCAATATCAGCTCAGCATACAGTTGTGTTCTATCAATATGGCTAGCGGTACGTACATGTTATTTAGAATAATAGTTATGGCACCACCGCTACAGACCCGTGCCTGGCACAGAGAGTTTTAATATTGTGCCAGTTGTGTACATTCCCTCAAAGGTGTTGGTAATTACTTACTAGTTTCGCTCTTCTTGCTGAATAATTAAATGATCCGAGTCCATACTGGATCTGAAACCCAAGACATCTATTTTACTCAGTATCGCTCGGGTTAATGCAATTCTTCTCTCTTTTTTTTTACATACGGTGCCTATTTTTAGAACTAGCTGAATGTCTAATCCATGCGGTATGAATTTTTAAACTTAGGCCAAATTTTCCAACTAACCGCTGTAAACCCTATGTAACCTAGTCTAAAATGAACGTGTTTATTTTTTTTTTGAGAGGAATATCTATTGGCATCAAAACTGGCAAATTTATTTATTACAAAAATAGTTGTAATTTTAGTGTTATATTTTCACTAGTTATATGCACTAATACGCTTTCTTAATATTAATTTTTGTTTTAAGATCCTTTACTTTTATTGAAAAAATTTAATAAAAGCTTTGGTCATTTTTTTAAACAAAAGAGCCAATATAAGGCCTTAAGAGACCGCGGAGAGTAACGTACTGTAACCCATATGAGTGAACGAGTTGGTTTTGAGAAAGGCAATCTTCTCTGAATGGTGGCGTCTAATTTGGATCTGAAGGGAGGTTATAAATAAAGAGCTTTAGACCATGCTGGACAAAGATTACAGTCAAATTCGACATTAACTTGCTCGTCAGTTAGAAACTACTCGGGAAGAGGATCTTCGCCATTTTCGTGATCTAAAAACCGCAAGATAATGCATTCGCTTTAAATTAACTAAATGTTTTTACCTTCAGTATTCCCGTTAGGTATTTCTAGCTTTTTTTAACTAATTAAAAAGTCGTTTATTTCCCCAGTTTATAAATGGTACCGGTTTGTTGAATATGCACAATCTAAAGATAACATTGACAATACTTATTGCTACGTTTGGATGTCATGTTATTCGAGAAACCGCTTCGGGCTTTTTTAAAAGTTTGGAACGAAGCAGTGAATTTTTAAAAACTTTTTACGCAATTCAGGCATAATTGGCAAAGTTTTTTTTATCGTACACGAATTTACTAGTTCATTGTTTTGCAAAAAACCTAGTCATACAGACTTTACCTTCCAAAAAAACGATCGAAAGATATAAGACACATAAATAAGGCCGCCATAGTGTAGGCTTATTGAGGTAAATTTCGTGCTTATTAAACTTCTCCTTCAATTTTTTAACAGTTTTGAATGCGCTATAGTAGGCGCCACCATTTTGGTCGATGGACACTTTTTAAAAGAAAACTTCTATAATACACTTCAAGTACGACCGGATACCGTCAGAGCAAAGCCTGTCCAGTACGGGGTAAGTGCGGGTGAGCTTGTTTCTTTCAGGTACGCACTAACTCGCAATTCTTACCTATAGTCACTCCGAATCAGCCTGGATCTTCTAATGGCAGGTGAAGGGGCACATATTATTCAAATCGAATTCATCAGTAATGTACACGGCAGCTTTGTGGATCAAGATGCTCGGAATGTTATATATGAGCGTAAGAATAAGAAATCTATAATAGTGGTAATTATGATAACCACTACTCGTTTGCCTAATAGTGTTACAGGAATTAAATTCTCATGTAAACCAGGGCAAATTTAGCAATAAACGAAAAAATGATATCGAACAGTGTTTGTCGAACAGTTAATGACAAGCCTAACATGCGCCTAGTAAAATATTTTAATATTTATATGCATATTTATAAAGATAACAATAATAATATACGAGATACTCCCGACGAAGGTTTTACGTCGATCTTTACAGATAGTGCGTGGAAAAGACAGAGGCTTTGCACTCAGAACAGCAGCTATCAAATTAAGCCCCATCTGCTACATCGCACGTTTTCTTCAATTCGGTCGTCTCTACGAATCTTTAGTTTATATAAAAATCTGTTCAGCTACTAAAAGAACAAAACATAAAACTCCGAACGGGTGAAGGTTACCTATATACAGTTCTTCTAAGGGTGTATGCTGCACAGCGGGAGAAGGTAGACCTAAGACATCTGCTGTTGATTGCAGCGTGCAGGGAGGATGCCGTATCTATTATTAGGCGTATTGGATAATAATAACAATAATAGAGCGAGGTCTCAGATTTATAAATATGGATAGCCGGAAACTGTTTCTGACTTTGTTACGAGTTCAGCTAGGCAGCAAAACGTCTTCTACTAAAGAATCTCCTGTGACTTTTGAAGCTGCCCTACTAGATCATGTGTTCTGTCACAAAACGGGTTGGTCGAGCAGATGTGTATATCCTGTAGTGTGTGTATACTGTAGTTTTTCACTCTATGAGTATTTCACCGGACACGACTACAACCTAAAACCTTTCCTCGCACAAATACAAAGTCAAATTGCTTCTAATAAATAAGAGATTTAACTATAAATTTCAGCTGGTGACGTATAAGGTCGCTTTCTTCTAAATGGCCCAGGTAATGTTTGCGTCTGTAATAACTTCCACCGTGAGTTCTTCAGCCGATAATGCCTTGACGCTGGCGTGCGTTAAGTTGAACGTTGTCAAAATGAACTACAAATGAGCATGGGAACCAATACGAAATAGGTTTTTATAAAAAGTGATTACTCTTCAAGCCGAATGTACATAAGGGTAACCATAATGAAAAAATTTAGTAAAACAGACTGATAAAAAAACCAATTGGTTTTGCCAGGGGTACAAAATATGTCACCTACCTTTTCTAGAAGATCTGCTCTTTATTCTGTGACAATATGCTGGATATTAAACAGTATCCTCACTATATATATCTCACTATATAGTACTGTCCTTCATTTATATTTCTTTCATAAGCATGGTAAGATTTTTAAACAAAGAACGTAGGACATGTTTTCTATTATTGCGCAGATATCAATGATTGAATTATAATCTTTAGTAACCCGATCGGAGACCTAGATAAACTGAATATTGGTCCAAATAGGCTTCTAGTGTAGATATAGACTGTCATACAAGCATAGCTACCTGTGTCGTAGGCTCTATAAATTCTAATATAAGACTATCCTATATGCTAATGTATACACTGAACACGTCACAATGTTTGATTACAACATTGCAAATTTTTATTGATTTCGTTTGTCTGCCCACCATTGAATGAACCAGGTTACCTGTCTTATTGTGGATGTGTGCGCCATTTTTACAGGAAATTGTTTATTAACATATTATTATCATAATACATAGTTCATGAGTCAATCATGAGAATCGAACGGGTCGTTAAACCTGGTAAACCAAAGCCAACCATTCCATTGGTCAACATTTTCAATTATATTCATACTTGAATGTATATATATACATTTAAGTATGACTAATACATATATA